TGTTAATGTTATTATTTTGAACCAGATCAGTTTTTGGCATTTAGATTTAAATCGCGCCTATACTCTACACGGCCACGCCCTATTTGCCTACACATTATCAGCAGGCGCTGATTGTTTATTTGCTTATTTGTTTATCTGTTTGATTGCTAATTTAAATTTTGGATATGTTCAGGCAAGCAACAAAAGGCGCTGCCGGCTATTTGAGAAAGTTTCGCTGCTTAGTTTTAGTTTCAAGGGTTTGTCTTATTTGCACGCGAATTATGAGCGTGGCAGCTGTCGAATCCGCGCTTACTCAACTTTATTACCCGCCTCCGGCTGCTTATATTATTGAAAGTATTGCATTTTAAGAGCGGAGAGCGACATATGCATATCACCAGAAAGAGATGCGGGCTTGAGATACTGATACGATTGCTTAATCGCTGGGCTTTTGTTAACTTAGCTGATTCCTTTAAACATTACATTTAGGCGCATCTCGCAACATTAATTCAAGTTTGTAGCGAAAGCTTTGCAACACTTATCACCTAGGACTTGCTGCCTTTTAAATTTAAAATTTAATATTTAATCTTCTGATTCAAAATCAAAATATATCTGGGAAACTTAATGTTCAGCATACGCAACATAGTGCGGAAACGAAAATTAAAGTAACAGTAGTATAGAAAATAACGTTAAACGAAAATGAATTAAAGCAATAGTTGGAAACCTTCAATGTCAAAAGTCTCACACACAACACTCACACAACACACACACAGCACACACTCAACACGCACACAAACTCACACACACACTAAGCCCTAGTCAAATGTGCAGCAAGTAGCCAGTAAAACGCTTAGGAAAAAGGCCCAAATTCTTGTTGCATACTGACACCAATGAAAATTATGGTTTTCCTTGGAGCGGTTCGTTTGCCAACTTGTTACAGTCACTGAAGCACACACAAGCCTAGTGCACTGTGAGGGCTACTTAAAAAGAGTTTTTTGGCGCCAAATGACTTTATGATTTAGCACCTATAGGCAATTGGACAGCACACATTGTTCGCTTGCAACTGGCGGCGTATACTTGATATTCACTGCACTTGCAATATTGGCCATTTGGACGGCATTTCGAAGCACGTCGTTTGAAAATGTACGCTAAACTGCAGTTAAGACTTGGCCGCAGCAACAAAAATTAATGCAAAATTGTATACACACGACACGAGAATGACGACTACGACAACGACAACGACGACGCTGACGACGATAACGACGACGACGACAACGACGACGACGATGGCGACGACGTCGACGGCGAAGAGGCGCAGCAGCAGAAACAGCAGCAGCAGCTCATTGTTGCGCTTGCCACATTGAATGCGATGCGTTATGGCGGCGTTAGCCTGATGCGACGATGCGACTACCGGCCACATTTCAGCATCAGCTTCGTCGTCTCCGCTGTCGTTGCTTGCCGTTGCCGACAAGCAAAAGCCCACACACACACACACGCACACATGCACAGATACACTCGGAGATGAGCAACAGTCGACGCTGGCAGCGGCAGAGACGAGATTTCACTTCCGAATGCTCTCGCTGTTGCTCTCAAAACCGAAATTCGCCAGCTGTGTTTGGCTGGCTGCCGCACACAATAAAAGTTATGCAAAAGCCAAAATAGCAGCGGACAGCACCTAATGCAGCCCGAATGGCGGCAGCAGCATGAGAATTCGTTATCGTGTACGTGTGCGTGCGAGTCTGCGTGTATGTGTGTGAGAACGTGTAAATGGCTGCCGATGCCTCTAATGAGCAACAACCTTTGTAAGTCGCTCCGCTTGCAGCAAGCTTTTAGGGGCAGAACTTTCGTCGAAGAGCTTTCGCAAAGCTTTCTTTTATAGGGGCAGAATGTAGGGTCAGTTTCCCCTTCTTAGTTTATAGCTATGTTTAGACTGTTCGTCGAAAGCTTAAAGCTATAGCTAAAAGCTCTTAACAGTATGTTAAATAAAATTTATAGTGCAAGCAAGCTGTTATAAATCTGGTTTGTTAATGGAGTTAAAGCTATATGTAAGGAATTATCCAAAAATCCTTGCCAGCTACAACTGTAGCTTACCTTAAAACAAATCTTTTGGAAGCTTCGTATTACAGCTTGCGAATAACTGTATGAGCTCTGCACTATTATAGCATTACTTTAACATAAATAGCATCAAGCCGTTTACAGATATTCTTATGTTATTTAACATTATCTAACCGCCCCTGCCTCAGTAGGGGTAGTTAAAAACTTAACGATACTTCTGCAAAGTAGCAGAGACGAGAGTACAGAAGGGGTAGTAAATGAGAGAGCACTTACTTTGAGCGGGAGCACAGCAGTCAACCCCTGCTAGTAATTGGGGTAGCAGACAGAAAGCGACTTTCAATAACATGTAACATGTTAGGAAGTTCTGAATTTAAGCGACCGACTGCAAGCTGAGCGATGGAATTTCAAACATTTAGAGCCTCTTATGATTTTTTTATAATTTTTCCTATATATAAATTTCAATTTCCGTTGATACTAAAATATTACAAATTTTCAGATTTTTTCAATTTGGAAAACATTGAAAGTCGTTAATTATATTTAAGCGTGCCCTGTTGTAAACAGTTTTATGGCATCAAATAGTTGCCGGCTGTTATAGCTCAGCTTTTCTCAGTGAACGAGCTTTGGTGTGAGTTAACTGCAACTATCTTAAAGTTCAGTTTATAACAGCGAGTCTACTATAAACACAACTATAAATTGACTGTACACTTTCTACTAATAGCTCTTTATTAATAGCACACTTGCAGGTACATCGTTCGTATTTAATTCCAATTTGCTCACCTGCTAGTAAAAACTCATCATTAGGTCAGAATTTCACTCGTTTTCTCCCCCTGAAGATACATTTTCTGCTTGCTTTGCACATTTTACTCAACTTGTTCCAGTTGTTGCCTTAATTTTTGAGCATTGCTCGCCGTTTTTATGATATTCATGAGAGTTGACTGCTCCTCAACGTGTGTTTGTGTGTGTGTGTGTGTGAGAGTGTGCATCACGTATAAATATTTTACGACGTCCTTCAGTCATTTACTTTTATTGCAATATTTGCTCACTCAACGTTTATGATGATCATTTTAAGCCATTTTTATGGCCAACTGCTGTGCGAATTGCATGAATCACGGACCCGCTACTCACAGCAGCACTCATGTGAGTACCCGTGCCCCAAGTGCCCTTAGGAGTCTTTCACTCTCTCTGTCTCTGTGTCTCTTTCACACACTCACACTCTTTCTCTCTCCTTCTCTCTCTGGTTGTCCCTGTCTCTGTCTGCATCCGCAATGTTGCTAAATATTTGGGCACCTTTGGCCACTTTGCTGCTTTTTATATAAATGGCAGCTCATTAAATTGCTGGCATCGTTTCCGGCTGTAGTTGGGGTCGTAAATTGGTCAGGTGTTTGCATCCCCTTCTCGTTTAAGCCCCCCCGGCCGGTAGCTCTCGTACTGTTGCATACTTCTGTGCACACCTTTCTGGCACCAAATTCTAATTTGGTCTGCAAGTTGTCACATCATTTAAGCTGCTGGCCACGTAATGAGCTGCAGCTCAACCAGAGCCAACTTTAACTGGGCAACACGACTCGAACTTCAGCTAAAGCTAGAGCTGGCTTTCGCACGTGCTGGCTTACAGGCAACTACTGAAAACTATGTCAACTGCAGCTTGTATATGGGCGTGTGACGTAACTATGCTAAAACTGGCCAAAACTATGTTAAAGTTTATGCCACTTTTGGTTCAGCACTTAAAGGACACGCTCGATTGCTTTCCGGCCTGTCCTGAACTGTGGCTCTGATGCACTCAATATTTCAGCAGATTTCGAGCGCACCCGGGCTGAACAAAAAGTGCACTTCATTTGATTTAAATTGATACGATGTCAGTTTGAATTTCATTTAGAAAATGGCATGCCCAAAAATATGCCAACCGCCACTTGAGCGACAGGATGGAGCGACAGTAAGAGCGGGCAGAGGGTGGGCAGACCGACTTATAAGTTATAATGGCCTGACCACAACTTCCCACTTGACAGCGGCCAAAAGGCATGCTCAAGTGCTTGGATACTTAAGAGCAAAATGTATTCATGTGAATTGAAGATGAGATGGCGCGCTCAAGCTCGGGCTTTGTGAGTCCGCACTCGACATTACAAAATTACAATTGCATTCTACACAAATGGGCTAAACTTAAGGCAGACACTCAGGCGCAGTTTCTTGAAAACTTACTCGGCTTATCAATAAGCATCTTTGGCTTACTGACTCGTATCTAACTTTGTTTTTTGCGCGGATAAACTTGCGTCCTGCAGCCATCTTGGCGGCACGTTTCTGTTACCTGCTGGGGAGGTATCCAGTAGAGCAGCGCCCGAAAGTCGGCTGCCATTTGAAGCTTTTTAGTGCATCAAACTGGCATTTTGTTTGTGTCAATAAGTGGGTTCTTGTATGTGTAAGATTGGAGTAGGCGTTTCGTTGTGCTCCAATGAACTCTGTTGATTTGGCAAGTCACACACGATTGGGCAGCTCAAAGCGAATCGGGTCAACATAAGTCAGCTAAAGTGCAGCGAAGATTACGTGTTTTTATACCGTCAACCCAATCAAAATGGGTTCAAATGGTTTTGAGCAAATGCACGTAATAATCCGCGGAAAGCATCTCCGACCCCATAAAATATCTATATTCTTGGTCAGCATTCAGGCTTGTTCCCCCACCAATATAGACAAAAATCGATTTTCAGATTAGATTTTTATCTTGAATCAGCAAGTTTGCTTTGAGGACTCTTGTTTAGTACACACAAATACAAGAATTTGACCCCCTTTTAAACTAAAATTGTTAAAAAGTCAGTCTTAGAGATAAATACTTGAGCTTTGCTATATGAACTCTTTTGTCTGCAATATATAATGCTTGAGATATTCATCAAGATCGAACGATTAACACCAAAGTTAACGAAGACTACGTTTCTTATAGTGTGTGTGTGGGGGGGTTTAAATATATAAAAGAAATTCGGAATATTTATAGCGACAACTTGACGCTGGGTTCTGGGCGTCTCCTAGTCGAGCATTCCCATTCTTACTTGAATCGTTCATGCGCAACTAAGAAAACACAACACAACTTAATTCAATAGCTGGAATAATCTTCAAGGATTTTATCAAACGGCTTACCAAATAAAAGTTATGCACTTTCCGCAGTTTACAGGAACGATGTTACTCAATGAAGCGTTCGAATGTTATTCAATTGGGCATTGGCAAAAAATTAAACATATGACTGCAGCATACACGTACACGTGCACAAATGTTAAATGCGTCCTCACAGTTGCATTACCCACATCCGAGCCCCCAGTACCCATGTCCGGGCGCCGAACAAAAACAACTGCAATTGCTGTTGCAGGCTTCACTCCTCCCCCATGAAAGCACAGTCCATTGCACACACATCGACAATGACAAGTACATGGGCATAATAAAGTCTTGGAATTTATTTTTATGTGCATATAATAGAGGGCAGCTGACCCATCCGCACGCCCCTTCGCATAAAACCCAACCATGCCCAATCATGCAGGCCGCCCCAAGAGACGCATTTCATCTGAAAATACGGAAAATGTTATTTGCCTGGAAACTCCGAATCTGAAAAGCGGCAATGCCTCTACAAATGCAAAAACAACAACAGCAACACCAACAACAACAACAATAACAGTTACAAGGCAATGTAAACAGTTGGGAGGACACAGACTAAACCAAACAGGACCAGAAACCAGGACCCTGTCGTGTAGTGTCTTACTTCGTGTCGAATGCATTGCCCGAAACGTCTGACAAAATGTCTGCAGCGAATTTTCGAATTTTGCCAATATTTGCGTAGTCATTCGGAGATTATCCTAATTGAGAATCTCGGCGTAAAACTGGGGGTTTTCAGAACCCTTAGGGTTGGCTTAGGTTGATGGCCCAAGGGGCTGATGGCCACCGATAAGACAGGTCAAATATAGATACATGTCTCTCTGGACGCAGTGCAAGGATGCAGGATATGTCTAAAGGCGGAAGCATGAAATTGTCGCAATTATATCGAAATGACGATAGCAAAAATTATGTGTATGGACGAATTTATAGCAAGGTGGAAAAATGATGTCTAAATAACAATTTATTTAATAGAAAATCCACCATTGACTCTCATATTTGCGAATCTTTTTAGTTTTTCACTACAAAAATAAATCAATTGGGTATTTTTGGATCCACTTTCTGACAGCAGGCACCAAATGAAGGACAAACAAAAGACGCCTTGACCACTTTCCAGCACTCCCCTTGTCAATAAGTCCATCCGTCCGTTCTGTCACAATTCATTACGGACACTCAGGAAAATATATATAAAGTTTTTGTTTTAGATTTCGTGACAAATGTACAAAATGTACAAAAATGGTAAGGCCATCAACTTACCCCCCGACGATATTATTACTAGAAACAAAATATTTACACAGGCCCAGGTCTAGGCCCGAATTGACTGTGCATGGACAAGTGGAGCAGGCCGGATGGGCTGTCTGACTGTCGCAGCCAAAAAGGATTACTTATCGCATATTTTGACATAAGTTAAGTTCATCACTGAAATACGAGAGTCAATTGTCCAATGCCCGAATATGTTGGGGGGTTAAATCCGACGGGCAGACAGCAGCGAGAGAGAGAGAAAGAGCAAGAGAGGGGCAGCCACTTGGTCGTGTGATGGGTGAATTGTGATAAGCCGACCGTCCGACAGGACAGGACAGCAAGGTCTGGGGTTGAGGGTCCACCACCGATTGCTCCTTTGTTTATAGGCCTTCTACGCCTTGTTTATTTGCATTTGCCTGTTTGTATTTGCACTGAAATCGAGGCAGGAACAGGACGATGGCTTCGGTTTCGTTAAATTGGCAAAAGTCTGCAGCACAATTGACAGCTTAGGGTAGCGACAGCCGGACTTGCAAAACAATTGATGGACTTTCTGGACATATGCACGGAGCTTTGCTTTGATTTTTTGTACTTATTTAAAATGCGACTGCTAATAATGCTTTATTCTACACAGCCTAGAAAGGGACAATGGCAAAGAATTTAATTCCGGTTTAAATGTAGTTCTATTTTTCGGCTTCCAGCTGCCATTGTTAAGTAAATGTACGGGGGCGTAAAAGGGTTCGAAATCGCTTCGAATCCTTATAATACTTTCCTTAACTTTTGATTGCGTAAAAAGCTTTTCGTTACTTCGACTAAGGAAGCAGAGAAAAAAGTAAACAATTACCTATTTTTATAATACTAGGCAGACGATCTGCCCAGATTTCTCTTTAAATTTTCAACTTGTTTTTGCAGTCTGAAGTCTAACACTCTCAGCGCCGCCAACTATCTTCTTCGCAAAGCATATACAAGACTATATGCATATGTGCATGTGTGTCTCATAGTTGGCTGTTGATACTAGGACATGTTGTGTGGTGTGCGTGCACACATGCTGACGGTCTTGGAGTTGAGCTGTATACCCGGGCCATTCAGAAGCCAAAACAAAACAAGTATGGGTTGCCTCTAGTTAAAAGTTTCAGCGTAGTATATACCCTGTACCTGTCTCAGCCACGTACACTATTGTCAGTCTTTTCATAATTAGTTTAATATATAGTTAGTTCATGACACGATACTATGAAAAATAATATTGGGTATAACTTCTGTTATGGGATAATATTCAAAACGTTTTATAAAAGAGCCTATATTACATACTTTTTCACAAAAACGTTATACCCTTTCTTGCATAGTTATAAATGGCTGCAGGGTATAATAAACATAACAGAATAACAAAGGCAACAGAGCAACAGCTAACCAAGGACTCGGGCCCAGACTCCAACCTTAGCTCGGGGATTGAGATTGTTCTGACTACTCATCCACAGCCGCGCCTGGTTGTAAAGATATAAAATCAGACAACTGCAACAACAAACAAGCTACAACAAGCCAGCAGCCAGGACGCTGTTGTCCCAGTCTAGTGGCCGACGTCTGGCCTGCTCTGTGCTCTGTCAGCTGCAGCGGCGATTTGTAGCGCCACAAGGATAATCACACTTTTAATCGTGATTTAAGTTTATGGCGCTGGTCGCTCGTTTAGTTTCTTGTTACCCGACGCGTTGCTTGGCAAGGATTTTCAATTTTTTCCATGGCTTCATCAACATCCAAGGCAGGGCAACGTAGGTACAAGCGCCTGGTTAGCTTGCCGCTTTCATTTTTATATTTTTTAATGATTTTTACTGCATAACTGGCGGCGTCTTTGCCTGTCTGCCATTGTCCTGTGCGGCAATTGCACTTTGCCACATTTTATAGCTACCCCAAACGGGCGGCCATCCAATGATTTGTTGATAATGCAACCAAACAGGAGAAAGCCAAATGAAACTTTACTCGGGCCACGCACATTAAGCTGCCTGTGACGACGGGCGACTTGAATATGAGATTTCCAGCTTAAGACCCAATGGGAGGATACTCCGTTTAAAGAAGTCAAAATCAGATTTGAATCACAAGTGACACCATGTTAATATTTACAATATTGCAGTTCCAAGTTGAAATTGAATCAAATAAAGAAGTTAGTTTAACTGTTTCATGCTCAGCATGCCCTCCATTATTATGCTCGGCCATAACAAGGTGCAGCACCCACATAAATCTTAGCCACAATTTGCCACACCTTTTGCCAAGCGTTTTACCCTGTAATTTGTAGCTGCTTTTTTTTGCAGCTAAACAAACTCTCCCATGCCCAACGAGAGACTCTCTGTCTTCTATCCGCTTCCCTTAACAAATTATGAGCTCTCACATTAATTTCATGCTGCCGCCGCCGCCACGTTGGGTGCCAAGTTTGCCCGCCTGGATCTGGAGCTAGGACTGGGACTTGGGTTGAGGCTGAGCCATAAGTACATTTTTGTGCTGTAATTAGAAGGCAGTCGCAGGTTAAGGAAAGGCTAGTGGCCAACTTGAGCATTGAGAGGAGCTTCCTGCAGGATCCGGAACGGAGATCGGGGGGTCTGGGGTCTGGGGGATTGGCCACTTGAAATGCAAATTGCGTGCAAATTATGGCAAACTGCCAGCCAAACAGGCAGGTGAGCAAGTTTTTTGATTTGTTGTGCCAGCAGAGGTAAAAATTATGCAAGAGTGGAAATATTACTTAAGGCTCCAAAGTTTTCCTTTTAATTGCTCGAGCTGCAATTCAATTTGTAACCAGGGAGTTAACGTCAAAGATGCGCCATATAAGAGCAGTCAGGAAACTGTTAGGACCCTAATCAAATTAAATCCGGTTGCCAAGTCTGCAGGTTTTAACTAAAGCAGCTGAGAGTAGGAACTTTAATTTTTCACTTACAACCGAACCTAAAACCGAACTAATTGCTTCAACAAATAAGTCGCATCGAACCGAAAATTCGTTCAATTTATAAAGCTTTGGTTTACTGTAAGAAAAAAACCTAACGCAGGAAGCTGCCTCGAACCACTAGCCGAATTCTATGATTTCTATAATTGCGCTTCCTTTCTCGCAAGCATTTGATTCGTTAGATCCTTCAGCTTGAAGGTCCTTCGTATTGTAGATAGAATAATATATAACTAATAACTCACCGTTATTATGAGTTAGAAACGCATTATCGGCTTCCGATGATGATGATCCTTGCTGCTCGTTGTTGGCATTCGACGATGAGGATGAGTTAGAGAAGTCGTACGGATGGTTCAAGCTATTGTTACCGCTTACAGCAGCAGAGGCAGCCAGCGCTTTAAATAGGTGTGCGGTGCGTTGTTGTTGTTGTTGCTGCTGTTGTTGTTGTTGTTGTTGTGGTTGCTGTTGTTGGGGCTGTGGGTTGTAAGGATTGTTGTAGATGTTGCGTGTGTCAGTCGCTGGCTGCAGCTGCTGCTGCTGTTGCAGGTTATACTGTTGCTGCTGAAGCGTGTTATTAGCGCTCAGACCGTTCACCGTAAAATGGCGTGATTTTCCTGCAAGACAGGGCAAAAAGAGAAAAAGATTAAGAAAATGGGTAGCCTGTCTCTCCTTGGTTAAAAAGCAGGCCAACTCAAAAGTTAGAAGCTATATTTATCTGGAAAATAGAAAGGAAAAAAAAAAACAAACGTCGAAAAAGTTTGAACAAAAAATTAAACTTTTTGCCATGTCATGACAGTTGGCAGCGCCACCCGCACCTCGAGGGCGCCATCCCTACCCCTACCCCTGCTCCACCCAACCCCCTTACACGCTTAATTGCATGCATTGAAATATGTAAATGCCCTGAGAGGGCAGCAGCATGAGTCTGAGTTTAAATTTTCGAGGGGCTGCCAGTATAGAGTGTGGGTGAGTGTGGTTGTGAGTGTGGTTGTGAGTGTGTGGGAGTGTGTTTGTGTGAGCCTCAATTAAACCATTTTCACTGCCATTCACGAGGTTTGAGGTTATGTTTTTGCTTCGTTTGCTTTGCCACCTATTGTTGCGTTTCACATATGAATTATGCATGGCAATAATAACAACAATAAGAACAACAACAGCAAACGTTGAAAGAGCCAACAACTGCGGGAGTGTCTGTGTGTGTGTGTATGTCGGTGTGTTGGTGTGCTTGAATGTAGTTGTTGCTGTTTACGGAAATGATGTTGACGCGGAAGCTGTAATAATGAAGCAGCAGCAGAGCTGCAAAATGTCGTCTAACGATGCCCGCATCCCGCCCCGAAAAGTATGCTAACCCTTTCAATTTTCCAGTTCGGCCAAAAAGTTTTGCCCTTCTGCCGCTGTTGCTGCCACTGCCTCAACTGATGCTGTTGTTGTTGTTTTTTGTTTCTTTTGCATATTAATTATGCATGTGTTGTTGGTGTGAAGGCATCAACACATTGTTTGAATTTTAAGCAACAAGCAGCAACAGTCTGAGCCCACCTACTGCCCCGTACGCCTCCTTTCTATGACTTTGTCAAGGCTCATTTTATGCTATTTACCCACTGAAAGTGCCTACAGAGGTTATGATAAAGTTGTCACGATGTATGTTATAGACAAAACGAGCAATCTTTCCATTGATCAGCATCAGGAGTCGAGTCGCTCTATTTGTCGATCTTGTCTTCGGCCGTGCCATCCCGTATGAATGCGTTGTTATTAGGCCATCGACTCTTGAAAAGCAATCAGCAATCCGGACTATTGTGAATTCTTTGTAGACTTTGTAATTTGCAATCGGATAGAATATATGTGTGTTAGTACTTTTGAGGGTATTCCCCAGTTGGGCATGCTCACACAGAGCACTCTGACCTATTGTGATTGGATTTTACTGGTTACCAGCTGATGTGCCACGTATATTCAGCAGCCAACTGTGTAAATATTAAGTGTGAAAGATAACGAGCTAATAACTTAGTTAATTTTGATGAGTTAATGTGTTCCGGCGTGTGTGTGGGTATGTGAGTATGTTTGCCTTAAATGGTTTTCCTTCTTTTTCAAGCCGACAATGGCAATAGAGAACGCTTAAAAATCGAAATACTTCATGAAAAAGACAATCAATATTGGGATTCCTCATTAAACTAATAAAATCTTAATTGCACGATCTCTTTGCCGAGCAATTAGACTGACAAGTACATAATCACGTTTAATTAGATCAATTTGAATATTGTATAAAAACTTATTTCAATCGGAGCACTTAATTTATGTACATCAAGTGTGTGTGTAATTAGCTTAACATTTTCGTGGGCGATATTAAATTGCGTTTTGTGCGTGTGAAATTAAATTGTTTTGTCGCTTTATTTAAATGGCTAATAGAACCAGAGGAATTTCTGTGGTCATCAATCGATTGTGCGGCCTCACATTCTAGTATGCGTGTTGGCCTCAAATTATAGCATATAATTTACATATTCGAATCCATAAATAACTATTAGGATTTATATATACAAAAAAGACTCGTGAATGCGCACTTAATAATTTAAAAAAAGGAATAAACTTTCGTTGGTTGCGTTTTTGGGGCTGGGAGCTTGTTAATTGTTTATTGGCAGCAATTTAAGCACCGATTGTTAATTGCTGAGCTTCATTGGATTCGGCTTGAAGTGAAAAGTTTGAAGCACTTTCGTCTGGCAAAAGTTTCGATAAAAAACAATAGAACGATTGGAATACGTGCATATCACGTAAAGAATTAAAAATCTAAGAGGGGGTCGCATAATTAGCTTGGAAGCATTCTGCGCTACAAAGTCTTGCCAAATATTTTTCGCACAATGCTTGGCTCTGGCTCTATCGGCCAATCTATGGAGACGCCTCAGCCCATTTGCTTACACAAAATGGGGCGTGGATAATTCAAAAAGAGAAAAATGTCTGCACATTTCCATTTCCCGTCATTTTGCTGTATATGGGCTCTGGGCTATTTTTGTATATTTTGCTTTTAACAAAATTTGCCAAATTTACACTTCACTAACACCCACAGCCACACACACACACACCCACACACACAATCGCACAACTAACAATAACAACAACAAGAATTTCAAAGCATAACAATGGGCAAAGTGTGATTCATTTTTGGTTCCGTTTCTGGAGAGGGGGTTCGGCCAGAAAGTCGAAAAATAAATAAGGCAACATTCAATGCAAATTGGACTATTTACGCAAATTTTATTGCCAAGCACTTTTATATTTATTTCCTTGTTTTGTTGTATATTTTTTCGTTTTTGTTTCTTTGTTGTTGCTAGTTGGCCGGGCCACCACATGTGGGCAATTGCTATATGTATTCGCATATCCTTGGAGCATACTTTATGCCTTTTATTCTGAACTGGAAAATCGTTGGCCCCAAGCGACTAGTAAATCAGGCAATTTGAAAGGCGCTTCCTTGACTTTCATTTTGTTAGTGTTGTTGTTGCTGTTATTGTTGTTGGCGCTAACCCTTGGCTAACCTTTTGGGGTTACTCGTGGCTCGAGGCCCGTGGCTCGTCTGTTGCACAAATTATGCGATTTTGTGTCATTATTCTGTCGCCAAACGATGCGCGCCTCACTTGGCAATTGCCAGACTTTTATGCTCTTATTTGGGCCTGATTTCCTTGACTGTGTGGCTTGGACATAAAAAGCGTTTCCAACAAAATGTGTTCTTTATTGACATTTAGAGGCGTCGCCGATTTGCGCAACGTCAACGAGTTGAATCGTGGCCTGAAGCCCTGTCAAAAAGCCCTCGCTGCCATTTGGGGGATTTACCAATAAATTCGTTCTAGTGAAAATTTATTGGCATTGCTTTTTAAACCGCGACGCGTGCTGGCAAACGATTTTATGGCTCCTGATGTATCGGAAATTGGCATTGAGCTGTGGCATAACTGACCTTTAAAGAAATATCTTAAATGCTTAGCAGCAAGAGTCAAGTCGATATGGAAATTGAGCATATCAAAATGTTTTCAATACTTGCTGAGATAATACAAATCGCTTTTGGATGCTGTGAATGCAGGCTGGTACAGACAATCTTGGGGTATGTACTATATTTGCTGTAATTTAATGCTTGAGTTCAGTTGTGCTGCTAACTTCAATGAATTTGTTAGGGCACGGGCAGCTTCTCAAAACAGAAAACAAGACCACCATAAGCCACGTTCTAATCTATGCATTGGCACATTAATTTACAGTCTGTTCGTTTACGATTTAAATGCGCACATTTTGTGGCATATGTTGAAGAGCAAAGCGAGGAAATGCAAAAACCATATGCCCCGCAGCGCTCGATGGCCACAAAAGCCACCGCGGATTCACCAAAAGCAGAATGACATAATGCTATAGCACGCCGCCAGCTACACAGCGAGCCAATGAGTTACTTATCACACAAAGAGGCCGCTGAGTGCCAGAAAGGATGAGCTGCGCAAAGGACACTGTCATTGATTATCGGCGCGTTATCTGCTGCTGCTGCTGCTGATGCCAGGGATGCCGCGGCGTTGCATGTGTTCAGCAAACCGCGAAATGGATTCCATAGATCAAGCGGGCAGCGAGAAAAAAAAAATAGAAGAAGACTGAATCAACTTGCATTGATAAATTAAAAGCAGCCCAAATGTTTGCCATTGCTTTGACATGTTTGACAACAATGGCACTGTGGCAGGGCTTCTGTGCCGTGGTAGGCGGGGGGTTGTGAAATCTAGAGAGCGGAAACTGGAAAGTGGAAACCAGAGCGCGGACTTAAGCCGCTGACAAATGCGATTGCCTATTGAAATTGAAAAACCAGAACGAAGCACAACACAACCCTTGAGGGTTGCTTGGTTGGGCCAGGACATTTGCATTGATTTCAATTAATTTGCTTGTTGTTCTATTGCTGGCCGCTGTCCCCGAGCTAAAGTGGTCCGTGTTGTGTTTTGGTTTGCGTGATTGTAATTGATATTTGGCTTGGTTCACTGCTGGGCTGGCTCTAATTTTGATTTTGGGTCTGGGTATCGGTTTGGTTTTGGTTCTGGTTCTGATTTTGGTTCTGGGTGCTTGCCTTGAGTCAAGTGCCCCTCGGCCCCGCAGCGTGTCTGGGGAATTATGTAAATGCCAACGTGCATTAGAGACGCGACAGACTTTGCTAACTTCTTCCTCGACTCGCACCTCTAAGCCGTTTGGGGAGCATTGTCGCACTTTGCATTCGTCGCATTCTATGGAATTATTCAGCCCACTAACAGCGCTCAGCTGTGCGAATTTCTGTCCAGAGGGTGACAACAACCAACTGTCATTGGCAGCGTGCAGAGTGCTTAGATACGAGTACTAGATACAGCAAGGCAAGGTGTTGGCCAACCCAGCAATCCTCTTTGTCTTTTCAAGTTTTGCCTTTGCGGATTTGTTTTCGCCTCGCTTTTAGTTTTGTGAATTTCAAATGCAGCAACATCTGTTCAAGTATCCCAATGCTAATGCGTTTTATGCGAATTTCCCGCTAAGCAGCGTTCTGCCCAGCAAGTTTCCACATGACTATCTAAGATACACTAAGATACAGCGATTAGATAGCACTTTAAATGAGAAGTGTGATGATTAGAGGAAGCGCCCAACTGTTAAGATCTTTCTATTATTCCGAGAAGTCTTTGAGTTATAATACTTCGCGTTAAAGTGTAAAATATATTCCTGTTTTTCCTCTCGAATGTTTTGCGTAATTTCCAATGCTAATGACTACATTTGCCTGCCCCTGCCTGCAGACCCAACAATGGGTATACCAAATGGTTTGTGCACAGGGCGACATTTGACATATTCAACTCATTAAACCAACATTGAAAGATGCCCAACAATGGTAGGCAGCGGGGGGAAAGGCAGCTCGAGATCGCCGGCTGCGAGTGCGGATGTGTTTGCCAGGCTAATAATAAACACCCGACAAAAAGTGAATTCAAAGGCAAATGATGAATGCGAGAGTGCGAGAACAATGGCCACAATGGCAACAGGATCAAAAATCAGTAACAAGCACTGCCGAAGGAAACGTGGAGGGTTCATTAAAACTGCGTCGCGACCATTCGTTAACCGGGGTGCAAAAACTACCCCTGGCTGGGGGGAGATCAAAGCAACTGCAACTGCCATTACCAACATTTTTTATGCGTACTACTACGCGCAGCCAGCAAAAGCAAAACTTATTACAAAGTTGACATTGTGTCAAACACGAAATAACGAGCCAAAGGCGAGACGCACACGCGACCTGGACGAGGGACTTGGGCACACCTTTTCTGAATCCCGTCGAGCCTCGTGCGGTTCTCAGTCGCAATTATTGCGTTTGAATTGTCAACACCCCGATGGGCCATGGCTGTGGTCAAAATCGAAACGCTACAGGCGATGCCAAGTTCCCACCCCTTGCCTCTGCCTCTAACCCTGATGCGGACTCTGATTCTGATTCTGCGTCGGTCTGCTTGTCCCTCCCTGGTAATCATTTCGTATATGTTTAACGCGTCGGGTGTTGATTGTTACAATAACGTCGCCCACAGCGCAGATTTACGCCTCTAACGAGACTGCGAGAGCGCCGAGGATGATGATGATGATGATGATGATGTCGTCGGGCTACTGCCCAATGGACAGCAACATCATGTATCCCAGCCTCAACCCCAACAGCAATCTCCCATCGAACCCATCCTTGCCTTTTATGTGCAGGTTTCGCTGATGACCCAACGGAGATGTGGCAAATGTGTCATTATTTTTAACAATTTTTGTGTTTGTGTGGTTTTTAGCACCTTCTGTAATTTATGACTTTTGCTTTTGGCTATCGCTGATGGACTCTGATTATAATTGGGGACAGCTGCAGGCAGGGGTGGGATCTGAAGTGGGGCCTAACGGGAAAGAAATTGTTGGTTGATGATTAGCAAATACATCAAATGCAACCAATGAAGAGACAAAGAAACAACTGTGACACTATTAACACCCGCCGATTCATCATCATTTCTGTGGCCAATTCTGATCCACTCATCTGCATTCGGAAGCACACAATAGATCTAACCTCATTGTAAGCCGAAACACTACATCATAACAGAAAAACAGTCGCCGCTCAGCTCACAAATGAAGACGGGCCCCGATTGGCAGCAGCCAGACAGTAGGAGCTATCGGTCCGGCTGATGGGTGGAGATGATATCTGGCAGGCAGCCAATAAATCAGATTTATTGGTTTTCAAAACAGATTTTCAGTGCAAAATACCAAACCACAATGCGAGTAAAACGAAATGAGTTCAATTTTCTTCTTTTTTTAGCGTTCTTTGCCATGGGCAACACATCACCATGGCTTTAGAGTGCCAACTTGGACCATATGGCATGATTCGAGGATTCAAACTATTCGTGGGCTCGGAAAATCCATCAGAAGTGCGGTCGGCGCCGTTCCTGTTGCTGCTGTTGCTATTGCTGTTACCGCACCCGTCGCATTGATGACACAAAGCGTGAAAGGATTAAGCGCGGCCAGGAACAATAAAAGTTCATCATCGCTGAGGATGAAGAGCGGGCGAGCGCGCGCTGCAGCCACAGGCTCTGGCAATTTGTCGCTCGTTTAGTTGAGTTGTGCGACAAAAATAGAATAAATGGCACAGATAATGAAAAAAATGGACAGCTGGAGTCTAGAGCGTAAATCGCTCTCGAGGACTGCGACCACGTCCACGTTGTGGCCGTTGGGCAGCTCCTGGTAATCCGACGATTAATTAAAAACGCTGCCCCTGCCGTAAAGGGCTTAAAATTGAAATTGATTGCAGCTATGTAGAGATCGCCTGGCTTATGCAAAGTTTGTGCAATTTAAGCAAAGTTGTTTATGCTAAATAACGTTTATATAAATAACGATGCTTGACTGCTGTGCCTTTGGCGAAAACAATCACATTTATTGCTGACAAAATTCTCCAGGGAACTGGAATCAACAGCGGACGCAGAGCACAAACTCATCGTCATCATCGTCATAATCATTGCCAACACCTGAAAGAAAGTCGCTTAACAAGCTCTTAACTCCCTAGGGCCATATGCCAAAAATGAGCTACAAAAATAAAAATAAAGCGTCCCAAAAGTTGGAAGCGAAAAAAAAAAGAAACACAACGGCAGAAGATCGTGAAAATTCATTTAGGCAAAGTTTACACGAGTAAAAAGTTAAGCATCATTTCCATGAAAATGTCAGAAGCAAATTCGCGTTTGTATTTCAAATGAAGTTTCTCCATTTGCCACCCTCACACTGAATCACGCCTTTTGCCCTCCCCCAGTTGCCTGGCCGCTGAATACTCTTTGATTTGATTGGATTTTGGTTTGTTGTTCTTTCCATTCTGCGAGACGCCTTTTAGTCTAATTTTGCGTGCTCTTGATTAGCTGCATAAATATTGATGTTGTGGCATCGAATGGGTATGATATGAACACAGTTTTTGGCCGGGGAAACCTTACAGGCAGGGGCTGCTCTATAGAAAATGATTCACATGCAAATAAGTCTAAAAAAACATCCGTGCACAGTTTCCCGTGCAGATGCGTACGGCTCAGTACACACACATGACCGGCGGGTCCCAGAAACTAGATGAGCTGGTTGTTTAGGAGATTCAACCCCCAGGAACAATAAAAAGCCATGTCACTTTCTCATATCAATTAGTTACAAGCGAGTACACTTGATTCATTAGCGTGATAATTACGACCAGCCGAAGGACAAGCAGGACGACAAGGATGCTGCCGATGAGAACTTGACTTTGGCGTAGAAAGTTTCCCACGCAGCGTAGAGAATGGAGAGCACAAAGGGACAACAAAAGCCAAAACACTTGGTCATGATGAGGCCGAAAATAATGTCAACAATTTGCACGATGCTTGGAGAAAGTGCTCAGTTAAAGCTTAAAGCTATGTGCCAAGCGAAAGTGCAAATGGAAATATAACTGAAAAGGGACATGGAAGTGGAAACAAAGATGGAAATGGAGATGGAGATCGAGATGATGATGGGCTTGGAGATAAAGTCAAAGCTAACTGCTGCGACAACAAATTGCTGCTCAGCGAAGCATGAAACTCAATTCTCGGCCAGGTAGCGCACCAGAGCGTGCCACAAAAAAAATATAAAACAAAAAAAGCGAAAGGACTACAACAATCAAGCGGAATTGCAATGGATCTCCCAGCGAACCCTTCTGTGCATTTAATTGGACTAGGAAGCCGAAAGAGCTGTGGCTTCTTCTTCTTTAAAGTGCAAAAATTGACTGAATATTGCACAATAGGATTTGGACTGATGTCTGTTGTCAAGACAATTGATTTCGACGGTTACCTCCTTCCCCTGTACCCAGGTAGACCCTCTATTTGTCTGTCACACACACACACACGCACACCTTTTCGGTACTGAATTCGCGACGCATTGCTATTGATTTGTGTAAAATTACAGATGGAGAGCTGCAGAATCGAACACGAAGCCACCCTTAGCTCGTATTCTCCTAATAATTTGCTCGTATTTGCTCTTTGTGTGCACTAATTGCAGTTTGTCTGTTGACTGCTTTGAGGTTGAGCCCATTGGGCGTATATTTGCTCAGCAGATTTGTTTGGATGCTTTTTGGGCTGCATTGGAGAGTTTCGGCTGATGTGTTGATGACTTGATGTCTTCATGTTGCTAATGCTGATGTGAACTGATCTAAATTGAAA